CACTTTTCCGAAATTCTGAGATATACAAATTTTTCCTTGTCGCCTGCGGAATCGAACGAATCTAATTATAGCCCGCTAGGACCATTATTAAAGAAAATAAAAAAAATGGCATTTCATGGAGAAAATTTGTGGCGCCATCTAGCGGCGAAACTGTGAACTAAAATGAAAAACCGTATGTCCGTACACGCGTTACAGAAAAATGTAAAAAGTAATATTTCGCAACTTTAACGACGCAGTATGCTTCTTTAGGCATTTTAAAGCAATTTTTGTTAAATAAGTTATTTATTTTATTGCCTAATAAACCCAGAAAATCAGTTTTTATTTGACCCCTTAACGCGTGTTCAGACATACGGTTTTTCAGTTTCGTTCGCAGTTTCGCCGCTAGATGGCGCCACAAATTTTCTCCATGAAATGCCATTTTTTTTATTTTCTTTAATAATGGTCCTAGCGGGCTATAATTCTATAATTACATTCGTTCGATTCCGTAGGCGATAAGGAACAATTTGTATATCTCAGAATTTCGAAAAAGTCCCTAGTTTTCGAGAAAATCTCGATTTTCTATTTTTGTAGTTCCAATTTTCGCCGCTAGATGGACGACAATTTTTTAGTCCATGAAATGGGCTATTTCTCTATTTTCTTTAATAATGGTCCTAGCGGGCTATAATTAGATTCGTTCGATTCCTTAGGCCACAAGGAATAATTTGTATATCTCAGAATTTCGAAAGAGTGCCTAGTTTTCGAGAAAATCGAGATTTTCTATTTTTGTAGTTCCACTTTTCGCCGCTAGATGGACGACAATTTTTTAGTCCGACACGAATTCGACAAAAATTGATTTTCTGGCTTTATTAGGCATCAAAACGCATCAAACCCTAATAGAAATTTGTTTCTAAATGCCTCAGGGACCATACTGCGTCGTCAAAGTGCCGAAATATTGCACTTTGTATGCTCAGTAAAATTGACATAGGCGGCTCATGTACGTATCGCAAGGCTGCAACAAAATAATTAATTACTCATTATCCGAACATTATTTATGAACTTTTGTCATCGAACCATGTAAATAATGCATTGCTGACCATTCTTTAATCATAAAAGTTCATAGGCTGTGCTCAGAAAGTGAGTAATTAATGATTTTGCATGTTCATTATCGTGTGTATATTCCTCCTGCGCGCCGCCCGCGCATGTCACGGAGGAATAATTACCGAAAAACCATGTCCGTGTAGACTTTAATGCATTTAAAATTTTTTTCTATGTCCATCCGGATGTACATGCGCATTTGCGTGCAAAATTTGATGAGAATTGGTTGAGTGGTGCAAAAGAAAAACGCGGGCAAAAAAGTTACAAAGTCAAGTATAAGAGATTAATGATTTTCAATATTTTCTACACCATGCATATGCACATCAAGATAAACGTTTAAAAATTAATTTAGATTAAAAAAAAATAAATTTTCATAATAATTCTGAAATATCGACGAACCTGCTGCTACCACATAATTGATTTCTGCATCACCATGGAGTTAGAAATAAATACGTTACTCGCTACATTCGAAGTAGATTAAAAGTGAAAATAAAACGTGTTTGAAACGTTAAACGTAAGTAATATCATGAATAAAATGACGTCTCAGGAACGTCGTATCAAACGACACTAAAATCAACAATTTTCTTATCTCGTGAAACCAGAAAACAACAACAGTATTATATAAAGATAGCGACAAAGTATACAACAATTAATTTTTGTAGAATGAAGACAGACGAAGCAGATTCCTCGCAGAGGATCCCCTCGAGGGGTCAAAGTACGAAATTTGAGAGTCCAGCCTCGTCCAGATTCAAACTTAGCGGCGCGGGAAGGCGCAAGATTGCAGGAAAGAACCTAACCTCGGCTCTTTTACGAAATCGACAAGCATTTCGTATCATAGAAAATGATACCGACGTCACGCCAAAATTATTAACCCATCCGACATTCAGTTCTATCGACGAACGTCAAATGACCGCGTTTGAGGCAATCGGATTGTCTCAGACTAGCAGTGTCAGCGGAAGTCAATTGCTGTCTTCTCCTTCCATTATGAGCGACTTCAAAAGTTCGATGTCGATTGCTAGGACATCTTCCATAGCACCTAGCGTAATGCTAGAAGATGATGTACAGTTTGAAAGTTTATTATCCACTCAAACAGTAGAGTCAGGCGACCAAGACGAGGATACAGCTCCTTCCCAGTTCAATCTACCTAGGTAATTGTAAGTTTCGGATTCAGAGAGTACCGTCGTTATTCTCGGAAAGTTATTATATTCATCAGTAGTTTGAGTTATTAAATGAAATTTAATTTTTGAGGACTTTTAATAATTCCTACGTTAATAATGAACGAACAGAGATTTCTCTATTTTCTAAAGCTTCTTCGTTTATCTAGTATCGATCCAAATATTTTTCCTACCCGACCAGAAACGGTGACGATCATTCTGAGGGAAACAGAAACATTTTTCCTTTTCGAGATGCAACCACGCACGGGTGATTTACGCTCGCCAGAGGGTATGGCGATTAAGGTAGAAAACGAGAATTACGAGTATAAAACAGTTGGGCCTGGATCGAACAGGAAAGTGGTAGACTCCGAAACTCAGACCATACAGGTGCTCACACAATCGCGAGGAACGTATCTTGATCGAAAGAAACGTAAAAATCGAGGCGTGTTTGTGAACAATTGGGTGATGCATGATGTATATGCTACACCCGAAATGATGCTCAAAGAAGATAACCTGCTCGTAGTGCACACGAAGGAGTCCATGGAACATTTGTTACAAGCAGAGGTCCGAATAATCCTCTGTTCATCGTAAGTTAGGAGGACATTGGCAGGTTTATGTAACACTTTGTGATATAAGTTATCTTAGTGATTTGAGAATTTGGAGATTTAATTCCTTCTGCCAGTGTTACCTATTGCATCGAATATTTCTCTAGTTTAATCTACTTTCATATTGTAGTTCACAAAGTAATCAACCGAATTTGTAATTCATAGGAGTTAAAGTCCAGATTACCAAAGATGAAGACAGAGTTAGGAACAAAGACCTCCGAGGACGAATTGACGACCATATTTCGGCACCCTAATTTTTGGAACGCAGTGCGTGTGATAGAACGCATAATAGCGAGCAACATCTTCATCCATGCTCAAAAACGTTTCACCGGATTAATCAAGCAAGATCCCTGTAGTCTTGACTTGGAGTTCACCTACAGTTTGGATCTTCTCTGGGCCAATACCTGCGAAATGAGCGAAGGAAGGCCAGTATCTACTTTCCGCTGGAATTACGTTAACCCAAGCATTCTGGCAGTGGGATACGGAGCAAAGGAAAAGTCCCATACACAAAATGGTGTTGTGTTACTCTGGAGCGCAAAGAATCCCGATATCCCAGCTCGAACTTACAGTTTCAATAGTCCAGTGGCCGACATCGACTGGAGTCGGGATAAACCGAATCTGCTGGCTGTTGGTTTTTACAATGGTGAGATCATAGTGATCGACGTGAGCAGTGAGCATATCAATATAGTACGAAAAAGTCATAGGGCCACGTCTCCTTCGAGCTCACCGCAATGGCAGGTTCAGTGGTGGGCCGGCGACGAGCAGTTCGAGTACCAGGAGCAGATCTATACTTGCGATCAAGATGGCTGTGTATATTCGTATCGTTACGTTCAAGACTTCACTTCTACGAAGATCATGAAGATCTTCAGAATAGAGGGCACGCTACCGGGCGTTAATAGAACCACCCATTGCAACGTTTACGACGTGTCATTCAATAGAAGTCCTGGGGCGTTGGTGCTTCGCAGGCACCCCACTTCAACCATGCTCTACTTCGTCGCCTCGGACGAGGGCTGCATTTACAAATGTTCCACGAATTACCTATATCAGCATATACATAGCTTCCTGGCCCATGACGGGCCAGTATACTCGATGATGTTCTCTCCTTATTGTCCGAAAATATTTTTAACGTGTGGCGCCGATTGGTGCATTCGTATCTGGGCAGACGGACTCACGGAACCATTAATCACAATGTCCACGACGATGGCGTGCGTTCGATACGCTGCATGGTGCCCTACTCATTCTACGATCATTGCCAGTATTGTTAATAATGAGGTTTGCATATGGGATATTAGAAGGAAAACTTACGCTCCTGTGTCCATCACGGTGTCACCTAACAGTGCCAGATTCGTTATGGCTGATTTCACTGCGGATGGTAATCAGCTGGTCGTTGGGGACGTAGAAGGTGTCGTGTATCTTTATAGCTTAGAGGGTATGCCGTTTCCACCGTATAACCAAGAACAAGTACTGATTGATTCGATCGAGAAAGTGATGATTACGAAGCCGAACCTTTTGAAAAAGTTGAAGAAGCTTGGACCACCGTTCTCTAAACACAAGAAGACTTGAAGTTGCCTTATTTAGAGATTGCTTTATTTAATGAAGTATTTTATCCTAGAGTATTTGAGTTATATTAGTAAGTTTTTGATAAATATATAGGACCGGAATGGATCTCTTGCATTACAAATTATACATTCAATTACTAAACTCGAGTTGAATAGAGGAAGTCTATTTTACTAATATATATTCGTACCGACAGATGGCGCCAGCTACATAGTTTTCAAAACATGTACTATGTACTTTAAATTATTGTTCTCTCCATTGCATACAAATTCATTAAAAAGTCTTTATAAACGCTTTATATATTCTTACATTGAATTCGCCTTGAAAATAATCATCTCATAGTAATATTAAATTAAAATACAGTAACATACATCTTCTACATTATTTTGTATAATGTAACATCAGTAACATAATGTAATTTGTATAAAAAATGTCAACTTAAACAGGAGTCATCTATTAAAGGGAGCATGTACTGCAAAGTTGCAAAATGTAAGGTAGAAGCATATTCTTTAATGTATAAAAAAGTAGCAATTACATATCATTTACGTGACGAAGGTGTCGTCTGTGTTTACATCGTTACACAGAGCAGACACGGCACGACATTTTGAACTCCTTTATCGGCCGTGCAGCCCGAGGCTAAATCCAGTACGGTGGGGACCCCTTTCGGTCCCCTGGAGCGAATCGTGCCCGAAGCTTCTCATGATTCGCGCAAAGGTTGGAAAGCAAAGCGACCATTTCGATTCAGGATGGAACTCCGGTACCGGGGCCCACTGTGGGGCCTGGTAGGCAGGCAAGTCGGCACGGATGGCTGGCTGGCTTGCTCGGAGGAGTTGCAGGAGAGTGCCATGGTAGAGGGGCTTCCCTGGCTGCTGCCGCTTGCGGGCACGAACCGCGCTACCGCCGTCAGCAGGCAGTCTTATTACGCCCGCACTCAACTACGCGAACTAAGTACTCTTCTTAGGCCGGCCAAACATTTGAATAACAACCGTGAGTTAGCTTACCGAACGTATTCGTTGTACTCCACGTATCATTCGAGCTTCATAGTACGTGTTAGGGGTACACACTTTATCCGCATGGACACGCACGTTCGATCGAGCCAACAAGGACTCGCGTTTCAAACCGACGGGACCAATCTCGAAATAAGTTAGTCAAACGAGCAGGGAGGCGGTGAGGATACCACGAGTTCGATTGGTCGGTGAAGACCTGCTGCCCGGTCAGAGGTAACTTTAGAACGTTTCTTTATTTGATTCCTTCTACCGATAACGTGTGCTTTCGCATGGAGATATGTTCCTTCTCGCTATCGTTTCATTCGGGATATTATTTTTACTTTTTATCGACACGTACATTCTGTCTCTTGGAATTTTAACACGTCATTAACGTTATTACATTGATGGCGAAGGCAACTTTGTATACACACGTTTCGAAGTTGCAGTGATTCTTGTTTTTGTCGCTGTATAATCAAAATTGTAAAATTTTTTATTTGTTATTTAATTGCGTGTATTATACAAAATTAGTTTGACAGTTTTTATGCATTTGTAGTTTACTTTCATTTATAATTTTATTACAGTTCCATAAAATATATCTCAAGTGTCGAAACAGTCGATTTTGTTTATAAGTTGAAATAACAGCAAATGAATAGTCAAGTGTTAATACAGTGCTTAACAAAATTTTAATACATAAATGAAAGAATTCGTATATTAAAACGATGGATGTATCAAATCGATTTAGACGTTTGAATATGGCGCATCGAATAGAGACTTTGTCCTTCACCCCTCTCCATCCCTCGTGACAATTTGACGAATCAGAATTCGACAGGGACGGTTGACCTGGAATGTCAGTCTTACGCGCGACGTGTGGAGGAACGCGGGTGCGTGAGTTTGGTGTGAAAAATACATACACGTAAGAGAACGGACGGATGTCCTATCAATCGTACCGGCGATTAGTTTCGTTTTCTTGGCAGTAGAAGCACGTCGGCGTTAACATCGACGGTCATTACGTTGTTTGTCGCGCGCCAAGAATTCGCGTCTGCGCATACCGAACTGTCACGATTACCGCGTGTCACGAATTCATCGTATATTTTTTTATCGTCCGGAACGAACACACGCTTCACTCGATCAAAATCAACGTGCATACAATCGATTGTGTTACAAGTGACTCGATTATCTACGATCTACACGTGAAAACATTATGCCGTGACAAATTGTAAGATAGAGAAAAAGGATTGATTTCAATTCTCCATGCAATGGCGGATTTAACCTTCGAGGAGCCCGAGGCACATATACAGATTTTTGGAGCTCCATCTTGATTTAAGAGCGAAAGATGTACGTGTGGATTATATCGAAACGTACATTCATAAATTCCTTAGTGTCCTACACTCTTGTATCGAACAAGAACAGGAGATATATAGAAGTAAGAATTATATACTAGGCAAGAGATATTAATTTAAATTTACATTGCCTGAGGTGATCACCTCGCGAGTAAATCCGCCACTGTCTCCATGCAAAAACACAGTTAACCTTCATTTTGATTGGAGTGATAGTATTGGCTGTGTGTGGGTCTTGGTCAACCAATCAGCGTGCGTTTAATATGTACATCGTGTAGTACGTGGTTGTTGACAGTTTGTTGTCGAAGGTTGGAATCGATCGCGTGTATCGTTCGACGATACTATCTCGATCATTGACGCGATCAGGGATACTGGTCAGTGTGAAGACTGCTTAATAGCGAGGAACATGTGCAACCAGGGAATAGTGGCGAAGCTGATGTTGCCGGGGAACGACGAGTTATACCGTGACCACTCTGTTCACGACGAATCCTGACTGATTCCACGTTCATTTCACCAGCTGACTGTCGACCGGGCCGAAGTTGAATCGCGACGCGGTGAATACGCGTTCGTTCAAAAGTTCTTACGGTTTAAAATCGTGGCGCGGCTGATTCGATACAAAAGTGTGGTTTCGAGTTAACGCGTACGGTGTATGGAATCGAGTCTTTGGCAGGAGGGGCGGCATGCACGCGAAATTACACGTTTTCACGTGCATTCGGTACGCTATGAACATCAACGTTCTCGGATATAACGGGTGCTTCCCAAGTAAGTGACAACAATTTTTTTTTAAATAGCATATTTATCCCATGTATATTTAATCCGTAATTGATAAAATGGAGTCTATAAAATTCAAGCGTACAAGCAACTTTTATTTAATTAATTTACTTAACTTTTTTTCAAAGGTACGAAACATATTTTTTTACTTAGTTAACGCGTTTTAAAATGACCACCATATCAGTTACGGATTAAATGAAATTTCCACAATCGAATTTGACGGTAATTGTCGCGTCTATAACAACTGTCGCAAACACGAAAGGAGGTTAAGAAGTTCCGCCATCTCAGCGTGCATTTCGAGTCAAAGGTTGGCATTGTTCCACGGCTACCATTCGTCCCAGGCGTCTAATTAAAATTTTTCTCCCTTCCTAACGGGTCATTGTCACTTTGATACCCGTAACAAAGAGCTTATCTCGCAGCGCCCGTGTAACCCAATTAACGTTTCCAATTATACGTTTCAAGAAAGATTAACGAGTTCTGGAGTCCGCGTTGGTCCAATATCTATGGCGCCCGTGTGCGTTCTCAACGCGAAACGCTTTCGTGCACCTAATTGCGATCCGCGGATTGATCTCAGAAAGAATTCCTCGATTCGAGCGCAATGCACATAATGCACCTGTTATCTGTTCGATGTACCATTCGCTCTCATAAACTTTTATCTGTAATGGGCCTCCTCCTATTCGACTAATCGTGACGATGCATCACGTACCTGTATCTTCATCTAATTCCTGGCTGCTCCGATGCAACGGTGCAACCTGCACGCGGCGCAACCGCATTCTTTCACCTGGACTCCGAACAACCATGGCCACGTGGATTTTTAATCTTTCTCTTGTTCCATCTTTCGTCGGAATACACGTTTTCGGGACATTCGGTCATACCTGCTTCGAATATATATATCGAAAAATATTTCGATTCGTAACGCGAATTATAGCATCAGTCATTTTTTTATACACTGGAAAGTTATTCGACGAACCGATATACTTTATAATTGTTAATTATTGATGAGGGAAAGAAGAGGTGTACGAGAACAATTTAATATTGTAACTAGCGAGATAGGCATTCAGGAATATCTGAATTATTACTAGGACCTCTATGTTCTAGATTCAAGGATCTAGGGATTTAGAGATATTGGGTCGCTGAAATCTGGAGATATCGAAATCTAGCGGCATCGGAACCTAGGGATATTTGACTCTAGGGGTATTGGTATCTAGGGATATTGGGATGTAGGGAGATTGGTATCTAGGGGTATTGGGATCTAGGGAGATTGGTATTTGGGGAGATTGGGATTTAGGGAGATTGGGATCTAGGCAGATTGGGATCTAGGGAGATTGGGATTTAGGGAGATTGGGATGTAGGGAGATTGGGATCTAGGGAGATTGGGATCTAGGGAGATTGGGATCTAGGAAGATTTGGACCTAGGGATATTTCTATTTAGGGATATTTGGATCTAGGGAGATTGGAGTCTAGGGAGATTGGGGTCTAGAGATATTTGGACCTAGGAATATTTCTATTTAGGGATATTTGGATTTAGGGAGATTGGGATCTAGGGAGATTGGGGTCTAGAGATATTTGGACCCAGGGATATTTCTATTTAGGTATATTTGGATCTAGGGATATTTGGATCTAAGGATATTTGGATCTAGGGATATTTGCATCTAGGTATATCGAGATTTCAGGAGATATCACGATCTAGTAATATCGTGGTCTAGGGATATCAGGATCTAGGAGCATGGTGACTTAGGGAACTATAACTGGGGGAAATCAGAATCTAGGAATATTGAGTTCTAGAGACATTGAGATTTAGTAGTATCAGTGTCTAAGAAAAATACTTAAATAAATTTTGAAAATTTCGAAGATTTAGTATTGTTAGGAGGAAAGATTGTTCTCGAAAGATATAGGCATAGTTTTTGAAATCGGAAAGAAAAGCGTATAGTGTGGGTTCAGGATGATCGGCTCTCGAATCGGGAGGTGGTTTTAAATGATCGGTGGTAGTCAGACCGATGTTTCTCGGCGTCGATATCCATCCCACAAAGTATATCGGTTGTTGATAACGATTAGTCGCCGAAGTCTCGTAACGAAAGTTCCCGTGGAATTATTCATGAATATAATTCACTCCGTTATCGGATTTATCGTACGGTCGGTCGTCTTTTTTACCTGGACCAAGTGTGAAGAAACGCTTTCCGGCGGGTTTATTTAGCCGTCCCCAACACCGCCACCAACTGGACATGACACCGAACAGGCGAAAAGAAAAACAAGACCTCGAGAAAATGCGTGGGCTTCGTTATCAGCGTTGGTAATTTATGCTCGCGCGACTAGTAGATTCTTGTTCCTTAACGGAGTACTTCCACAGGGGTCATATATCATCGTATACGCGATCGGGACTGAATAATCAATTAATAAAGAGAATAAATGATTGCTCCATCAGCGGAGAGACGGGCATAAATCTTGAGTATTACTTGTCGCGTTCGAGATTATTGTTCTCGAAAAAAAATCATCGCCGTCCTTTTCCAATAAATCATCTCGCGACATTTTCTATCCTTCGCGAACTAGCAGAAGCGATATTAACTGTTCGCGGTTCATTTATTCCGCTCGTTCGATACTGATTGCCAATAAATCCGATTTGGTTTTGCCTAACATATCGGATATCAAAGAACACCACTTCTTTTTAACGCATAAATCAAAAGCGCGAACCGAATACGCGTGAAACTTTTTCAATTTCACAGCCGTTATGTAGATTTCAAACGATCAATATGTCTATTATCGATACAGCGTTATCGCTATCGCAGTGTCCGTAATAAACGTCGAGAATTATCCCGGTTATCGACAATGTTATGACCTGATCGCGAGTCTTTAAGGTTCTTAAAGGAATTTAACCGATTACGAGATAGTAAACGGTCGATAACGTATCCTTAAATATTAATATGTATTTCTTTCTTATTGAAAGAAATTAAATAACTTAACACGACACGTCAGAACAGTTTGATTACACGCAAACGCACGTATAGCGTGATTTTTCGCTGGATCGTTGGCTCAGCGAAAGGGGTAATTTCCTCGAAGCGCTTCGAGCGACAGCTGATGTTGGCCGCAATCGACGGAATTAACGAGCAAAGTCAAACGCGATCGACGCTCGATCATTTACATACAATTTAACAACGAGTTGCAAGCGAAAAGCACCCTCGAAATGTTGCGGTTCGCGAAAAGAACGTAACAGAAGAAGCGATCACGTCGCTAGTTAAAGACGAGCGGCCCGAACCGTCGATCAGTGAACCGCGCGTAGGTGTAACGAGAGGTATAATGCGCAGAAAATTGCCAACAGCCTCGCACCTCTCGCCAAATCACCACCTTGAAACACGTAACGGTCAAATAGAAAACCGGCTAACAATGTTGCACACGTGTACTTGCCGTTTAAAAATTCATTCGTACTCCGATCTTATCGTCTAATGACGCACGAATTGATCATTTCGTACAATTTACATTGGGGTTTTATAGTCGTTTTAGCGTGTTGCTTGTTGGCTGAGAAAATTTTGATGAGAACTTTCAAGTAGCGATAGAACGATGATCACGTATGATAATTATAACGCGTGTTAATTGCTATGTGTGGCAGCTCGTTGCCACTTCGATGCATGACTCTACAATGCACGCCAATTACAATGAGTCGCGATTATTTCCATGCGTAGCGATATAAGGCGCAGTAATTACAACGCTTGATTATAACATTCGTTCATGACGTATAGCTATTTCTACGTGTAGCAATATAACGTGTACTGATTTCAAACCGTGATTACGATCTTTGATGATTACGCGTAGGTATTTACACACTTGGCGATATAACGTGTAGTAATTTCAAACCGTAGTGATTACGAGTTTCGACGATTACAACGCGTAGCTATTTACACATATGGCAATATAACGCGTAGTAATTACGACGAGGAGTAATTGTAAGGTTTATCGATTTCAACGCATGGCGATATAACGTGTAGTAATTTCAAACCGTAACGATTACGAGCTTCGACAATTACAACGCGTAGTTATTTACACACGTGGCGATATAACGCGTGGTAATTACGACGAGGAGTAATTGCAATTTTGTCGATTTCAACACATGGCGATATAACGTGTAGTAATTTCAAACCGTAGCGATTGCGACATTCGACGATTACAACGCGTAGTTATTTACACACGTGGCGATATAACGCGTGGTAATTACGACGAGGAATAATTGCAACGTTTATCGATTTCAAAGCATGGCGATATAATAGATTTCAAAACGTAGTGATTACGACTTTCGACGATTACGCGTAGCTATTTACACATACGGCGATATAACGCGTGGTAATTACGACGAGGAGTAATTGCAACGTTCATCGATTTCAAAGCATGGCTATATAACGCGTGTCGATTTCAAAATGTGGTAGTTACAACGCGTAGTAATTACCAGGCGTAGTAATTTCAACGCTTGACGATTACAATGCATGGTCACGAGGCGTGGCAATATAACGCGCAACCATTACAACGCGTGGCGATATAATGTGCAATCATCACAGTTCATGGCAATATAACACATGGCGATCTAACACTGTGGCAGAACGCAAGGATTTAATGTACGTTAATCACCAAAAGCTTTCAACAGAAAATTATGCAATATCCATGTTATTTTAACATTTTCTTTTAATTACTTAAATACAAGCGATCTACACCCCTCGTAACATTTCCCGTCGTGCCTTTAATACTTTCAGATTAGAACCGAACGTATCAATTCTCTTCGAGAACAAAGAATGGCAAATTTGTCCCGTACATATCAGAAGGCGATATTTCGTTGCGATATACCGTGAACTTTCCGTAGCCCAATGGATCTCGAGGAGGAATTTTAAATATCTAGCTTGTTCTGTACCTTTAGTTAATCTCGAGGGAATCTAACGAGAAACCAATGATCGTACGACGAAAAGGTCAGTTGAAAGTAATCAAAGGATCATGGTATGTGGTCGTGTGCGCGT